AAATGGATGTGAGATAAATTGATAACTGTAAGATACTTGGCTTTGGTTTCCATTCATTGTATTACCCTGACAGCCAGTCTCCCATCTTTTTCTAATGAGTTCTTTTGAATATCATGTTAATATTAGTGGATTCATTACAGCCAGATGTCTTGGTTGGTAGGTTTGTGTATCTATCTATTTAAGGATAATTGTGGCATTGAGGTTTTAACTATGTAAATTTACTTGATTAAACATTCTCAAATCAGGATATAACAAGAGACTCATTCCCCCTCACGGCCCTAACATAGCGTTCTCTGGTGTCTGGCATGAAAATGAAACTCTAATAGAATTTAAATAGACCTCATAGGGCTTTGGGTTGTGTGGTGCAGAAAGAAGCAGCAGGGTGTAGGTGGTGGCCTCAAATTCTTTGGGTTCTGTATCTGGCCAAACTCTGCATCTGGTGTTTCCCAGGAAATCTGGTGCCAATGTCATACAATGCCACATCTGCTTTCAACAAATGTTTAAGCACCGAGTTCTTAAATTCCTGGCATGGAAATCTGGCATCCAGTATTTCCCAAAATAGATTTGAGATTTCAGCAATTTGGGGGTTAACAAACCCTCTTTAATTTCTTCTTTTGGGAATCAAACTTTTATTTTGCTCATTTCACTGCATAGATTTAAAATGTAGTTTCAACCAGATTCTGTTGCTACAAATTCGTACAAATGACCCATTTCAGTATCTTGGTAAATTCTTCTTGTTAATTCCAATGTTTAATATGGAATCATTATTGAAGACAAATTCTGGTTTTATAACTCTCAAATGAAAGGGTTGCCTGGATGTATTGGACCCTCAATTTTATATTTCTTCATTCAATTTTTTATAACAGTACTCCATAAGGTAGATAAAACAGTTTTTTCATACATGAGGAAATTGAGGTCTAGATAAACCAAATAACTTGCCAGTAGTCACACAGCTAGTGAAGGGCTCAGCCAGGATTATCCTTGAGGTCTGACTCCCCATGCCACTTGGTCATTACCGTCATTGTCCGGATCTGCTCTGCCAAGCATGGCCTTTGTTGAAGGAGACCTAGTGGTGGGATTCATGCCTTCTGAGACCTTACAATCTATAACAGCAAATTACATGTAAACTACTCTTTAGTACAGAAACTATTTTTTAGTTTTATGTTTTCTATAATAATAATCTGCCCATGTTGTTCTTGCTACATTTTTTTTTAATCCAGTTTATAACATTTTAAAGTTTGAAAGTTTGTCTTGTTCCTGACTTGTGCCAGTTTTTTGTTTTTGTTTTTGTTTTTGTTTTTGTTTTTAAATGAGACTAGTGCTGACAATCAGATTGTAGTTAAAGGGTAATTTATTTTAATTCTTTTTGAAAGTTTAACATTCACATTACATCTCATTTTTAAAATTTATATATGCTTGCTAGTTATTTTTAAACATGTATTTTCTTGTAATTGCCTTTTTAATAGGCAGTACATTCAATTGTCTTCAAATTTAAAGAGGTAGGAAATAATAACACTTGCTAAGTAGGACTATGACTGCGTGCCAGGCATTCGTTCTTCTAAGCACTTCTCATGTGTCAATTTAATCCTCCCCACAGTGATGTGATAGGTACTGCTGTTATCTCCATTTTGCAAATGAGTGAACTGAAGCAGCAGAGGTGTACCTGATCAAGCTGGGGTCTGGGTTTTGTCATTTGTCCGGTCAAGTGTCACTGCCTTTGGAAAGCCTCATATGAACACAGCTCTCTTTCTGGGCTAGATTCGGTGCTTACCGACATGCATTTTTCTTTTCCCTTGCATTCATTACAATTCTCCATCATCTCCTCCTCAGACTGAAGCTTCCCCAAGCAGCGCAGAGGCGGGGGGTTGCCCTGTCTTATGCTTTGGTGTGGACCCCGCGACTTAGCGCACTTTCTGGCATCCGCTAAGTACTTGAAAAACACTGTTTTGCCAGGACAAATTCTCCCATTTAAAAAATGGGTATATCTGCTCTGCCTTCTTTACAGAATTATTCAGAAAATCGAATGAGGGTTCACAGCTGTTTGTCAGCTTCAGGGCACTACACAAATAGATACGAAACCAATTATGGAGATTATGGAGTGCATCATATATCCTTAATGAAGACTGATTCTTTGAAAGCTTCTAGACACTAACTTGGGGCTTGGCACTCAGGACAGATAGGATCTTGACAAAATCCAGAGTGTACTGAGTTCTGGCCAGCCTGTTTTTAAACAATAGTCCTAATGATTTCAAATGATTGTTGTAGCATCTGATTGCATGCCTTTTTTTTTTTTTCCTCCACAGAAGGCAGAGAATTGTTTATATCCTGATATTTAAATATTGCAGACTCATAGTGCCTAGATTCTACAACTGGTTGTGTTATCTAATTCAGTGTTTCTCAGTATTGGCTACATATGAGAATCACGGGGTTGTCGTTTTGCTTTGTTTTTTAGCTGAAAAGTCTTAGGCTCTGCTTTCAGATTCATGGAATCAGAATTTCAGGGTGGGAGGGAGAGATCGACTCAGGTAACTCTGATGAGCATCAAGGAATGAGATATATTTCAAATGTGTTCTAAAGACTGAAAAGAAAGCTTAATGTCACTAGAAATATTTTTAATAAGAAATGCAGTTGTTTCATATTTAATCATTCTTGAGAGCACTGACATTTATTTTCTTCCTCTGTGGTACATTTTATAGTCCATTTGTGCTGGTGAGTTCAGTGGATACTCTAATTACTCAAAACCATATGGTCATGGCAAGCAGCTGATAAATGGGTTACAATTTTATTTCCAGGCTAAAAAATCATTTTTACCTTGCTTGGGAGAAATTTGGGGCCTTAAGCCGACCCTCACTTATTTTGTTTTTAACAGAAATTACAGTGTTATGTGTAGACGTTTCATCACTTGCTTGTAGAAATGACGGGCCATCTATTCAGGCTGGAGTCTTCATAAGGTTCATCCGTTTCCATAAAAGCTTGTCAGTCTTACCATCTGCTAGTCTGATGGTCTGAGTAATACACAGTACCTGCAGGCCAGATTACCATCAGAGAATAGACCTAGCAGTGGTCTGATATCTGGTTCTGGTTATAAGCTTCATTACTAAGAATTGTTTGAAGGACATGTGGTCTGACTAGAGTCATCCCTATATCAAGCTGGGCCACCAGAAAGTTGTTTTTAAAAATATCTTACCTTGCTACCCCTGCTTTATGTGGGCTTATTATACAAAGTTTTCAGAAATGTTTCAGATTTTTCTCATTATTTTACAACACTTAGCAATGTCTCTACATCTTTTATATTATCAACTCTCAATTTTTGGCTTGTTTCTCCTCAAAAAATAAGCCATTTGTTTCATCAGAAAAAAAATATTTAATTGATGATTTGTTTTATAAAAATCATTTTCTCATTCTAACTAAAAACTTGTACATTAAAAAAAAGGAAGAGAGGCTTTTCTGCAATTTGTGATGGAAACTGGATATCTTTATAAGCGGTGGAAGATCTGTTTTAACATTATTTTATTTCATTTATTTTATGTCAGGAATGCATTAGTATCAAATGGCAAAAACCTGAAAGGATAGCTTCAATAGATGGGGATTTATTTGTTTTAACAAATCTCTTGGTGTAGGCAGTGGAGAGCTGATGCCATGAGGGAACAAGGTTCTTTATATTTTTTAACTCGCTCCAGCATCCTTGGAGTACAAGAATTTGTCCTCAGGCTTTTTATCTCAAGGATTTATTCTAACATTCTAAAATGGCTTCTATGCATCTAGGTGTTATTTACCAGGAAGATGAGGGCAAGGGGTGAAAGCTTTTTTTTACCCCCAAAGCTTTTCCCTCTACTCTCTCACCCCAAGCCAGGAATTATTTATATTTTATTGACCAAATCTATGACATACGCCCCTCCTAGCTGCAAGGGAAATGGAGAAATGGTATTTTTTCTTTTAGGCTGTATAGTGGGAGAGATAGAAGAAGGCCTGTGAATTGTTATTTTCACGGTCTCTGCTGAAAGTGTCCTTATGGAAAATGAACCAGTAGTTTTTGCAATCTGTCTTTAATATGGCTACTTCTCCCAGTCATAATTTAGAAATTCAGAGCACGTTTAATCTGCATCTGTTCACATAGATAATTCAGTTTTTGAGGTACAAGTTACATTTTTAACACAATGAAATTATTTATTTGATAAATCAAATTTTCAAACCCTTATGACTAGTCAATATATTGTCATCTTTAATGCATTTAAAATACAGACTCTGTAGCTTTTTTAAACAATATCTAATTTTGGCGAGACAAGCCAAACATAGTGGTTGTAGATATTGAACAAATGGCAGGTTTCATATCAAAATAGCATTAGAGGGGCTTTTTAAGAATCTAATTGAAGGAAGAGGAAAGTAATAAAATATTGGAACTGAGATAAGACTATAAAATAACTAATGCCTTTGTTCGAGGGTAAATGAGAAAAATAATGTGACAAAGCAGAGTAACAGTGTATAGTAAAACAAAGAGCCAGCAGATAGATGGCTTGTGTTTCAGTCCATTTCCACCATGTACCTTTTCCATGTAACTTTATCTTCTTGAGCCTTGACTTCCCCTTCATTTTATATAAATAGTGATTGTAGCAAGCTCACTGTGTCATTTGGCTCCCCCACTGAGAAAACTGCTGGGCACATGGTAAATGCTGGTTTCCTTTACCGAATGGATAAAGGTGAGAAAGTGCTCAACTTAAAAAGCGAAAATCTCTGTCCTAGTCAACTTATGTTTCATATGAAAGAAAGCCATACTTTTTTAAGAGCCCAACTGTTGAGCTAAGAATGGCACTGTACCGTATCTTGGAAGTGACTACCTAAAATAAGAAAACTACTTTCCATGCATTTTTCAAATGAATTGTTTAATTCCATATACATATGAGTACAAAAATTTAGTAGGATTTATTGGGTTTTAGAGAATATAAATGTATTTGCAAAATCTACATTTTTCTTATCTTTTTTTATATTTTTCTTCAATCTAGGATTTTAAGGGTGGACTTGGTATTACCATAATTCCTATGAATGTAGCAAATGTAAAGCAAGTGGACAAAACTGTGAAACAATCTTTTGAAATAATCACTCCCTATAGGAGTTTTAGGTAAGCTGTATTTCATCTTTTTGTGTGTGTACTACTACAGGAAAGTTTGGGGCAGCCAGTTTTGTATTGCTAGTGGTGATTTTATTTCTTATAGGATGCTTAATAAAATTACGTTCTACTTCTTCATACTGTTTATCAGCCAGCTTATATAAGTACCTTGTAAAAGTGACTTGAATAATCATGCAACCTGGAAAGATACTAATTTGATGAGATTTGAATTGTTTCTTATTACATTTTTTCTTAGACGTCTTGGTATGTTAATTTTTTTATCAACAAATATAGGAAACTTCACATTTTGGAGGAATAAAATAAAAAGGGAATACTATGTTGTCTTTAAACTGTATTTTATTTACCTTTTAGCCTAATCAAATACAGTCCCTCCTTTAAGATCATTCCCTAATTATAATTGCTCCATAATGATTTCCTAAAAAGAACTACAGCTCAAAATGACGTTGAATTTAATAGATCTCCAAGCACTTATTGATCATATATTTTAGTATTTTGTTATGTATCTTGTATTATGGTATTCTAGTAATTGCTTTATTATGACAATGAAACAGAAAATATGTCCTAAATATGTGTAAATAATCTATAATGACTCCATAGCTTTAGTATACAGAAGAGGCATCAGTATCTCTTGAGATCAACCACATTAATTCGTCACAAATAACATACCACAGGGTAGTATGCAGGTCAGAGGCAATTGTCAGAGGCCTTTGAAGGACTAATAATTACTTAACAATTTAAAAAATACTACCAAATCTGGTACTCAATTTATCTGTCAGAATATGTCCACTGGCTCAAATTTTAAGAAAAAAATGATCACATAAATAATAACAAGCTTTATTTTCACACAGGCAAATTCAAGCCTCAAGTGAAAATATAGACATTGGCTAAGCTTTTACAGCACTTCTGACACTAAATAAGTGAGGTTTTTACTCATACCAACCAATTATTTAACTCTTTGGACAACAACTGGGTGTCCTACAATTCATTCCTATTCTGCCACCAACTACTAGAGTGAGTTTCAGACCCCACAAGTTTAAGGGCTTAGTTCCACAAGACTGCCCTCACTTCAGACACCAGCTACAAGTCTCAGGTTCCCAGGTTACCCATACTTCGGTCCACCTTGGCTGTAAATCAGGGTTCCCATGACCTCTCTCCCAGGTTCGATAATTTGCTAGAATGGCTCACAGAATGCAGGGAAACATTTTAATTATTATTGCCAGTTTATTTTAAAGAGTGCAACTCAGGAATGGCCAGATGGGAGAGCTGCATAAGGCAAGCCACAGGGGTTAGTGGTACAGAGCCTCCACGGCCTCTCTGGGTGTACCACCGCCCTCCCAGCACCTCAATGTATTCACCAACCTGGAAGCTCTTGTTGTTGAGGGACCTTTTGTTTTGTTTTGTTTTGTTTTGTTTTTTTTTTTTTGAGTTTTCATTCCATGGGCATGATCGAGTAAACTCTTGGCCATTATTAACTCAATTACCTGGCCATCTTCCCTTCCTAGAGGTCAAGGGTAGGGCTGCCTGAATATTCCAACCCTGTAATCACACCTTGATCTTTTCTGATGACTAACTCACATCCTGAATCTGTCTAGGCCCCCAGCCACAAATTATCTCATTAGCATACAAAAGACACTTTTTTTCATTCTGGGGGTTCCAAGGCTTTTGGGAGCTGTATACCTGGAACCTGGGACAAAGACCAAGTATTTGTTTTCTTGTACCATATTGGCTGTGACCAATCTGTGTGTAGAAACAGAAACCACTAAGAAATTTGTAAATATTATAGTAATGATGGAACCATAAAGTACTTCAAAAAATATAACTCATGTGGGCCACTCAATTTTCTTACAGATTGTTTTGAATATTTTAGTCATCTGTTATTTTCATTATATTTCAAAGCATTTTCATCTTCAGAACAGAAGATTTTGTTATGGAGCATTACTCTGTGGGCCATTGACTGAGTATGGAGCACCATAGCACATTCCCTGGCACATTGTAGATGCTCAGTAAACATTTCTTGAAGGAGTGAACTGATACTTGGTATTTTACCCCTTCACTCAGGCACCCAGTAAATGCTGAGAATTAGAGTACATCAAAACATGGCTAAAAATTAGTTCGAATTCTGTAAGAATAGTAATGACTTAAAACTTTTCATTTCTCAGTTTCTTAAAGCCATCTGTACATTCTTCTAATTAAAAATATCTATTTTTAATACTGAAAAAATTAGAATTTCTTGGTGGATGTTTTTTGATAATTTGGTTTAACTATTGTGGCGTTCCTTCTTGGCTAAATAATCTGGTAGTCCCAAAACTCTGCTAGTCTCCTATTGATTGTTACATGACCAGGATATAAAAATTGCCTTGTTAGGTCAAAAGCCTCTCATTTATGCTTTTGACCTAACAAGGCAATTTTTATATCCTGGTCAGAAATATATGTATGTTAGTTTTGGTTCAAGATATGTAAACAAAGTCATAAGCAATGTGGAAGGTTAAAGGAAAAAAAATGGATTTCTGAAATTAGATAATTTTTAACAGAAAAGATTATCCAACTACCAAGAAGGCATATTTTTCAGCTGCTATTTAATTTGTGAGTGAAATGAATATGCAAACTGAACATACTGCTTAATTGGCCTTTACAAGGGAGATCGATAATGCAGAAACGTTAATTGTTTCAGCTTTACAGCCGAGTCTGAAAAGGAGAAACAAGAGTGGATTGAAGCTGTGCAGCAATCGATAGCAGAAACTCTCTCTGATTATGAAGTAGCTGAGAAGATTTGGTTCAATGAGTCCAATAGGAGCTGTGCAGATTGTAAAGCCCCAGATCCTGACTGGGCATCCATCAATCTCTGTGTTGTCATCTGTAAGAAGTGTGCAGGTAATTAGCGATAAGTTATGCTCATCACTGTTGGGTGACAGATTGGCACCGAATGTTCTTTATCGTCATATATAATGTGTCCCAGCTAATGGTTGTGAAAAATAAAAACAGAGAAGGCTTATTACATTTAAATCAATTTTCAAAATGCAATTCTAAACTTCTCTTATGCATGACTTAGATATAGAAATTGATTTTTAAGCATGTAATCATTTTTTGTGCCTACTGGTCCATGTATGGATTTTTAAAAGACACTGTTGAGATTTTTACATTTTCAGTGAATGTGTTTCACAATGCGCCCTGAACACACCTGCTCTTTGTATGATTTGTCCTCTTTTCCACAGTCATATTTTGTAAGACCTATTTTTCACATCAAGGTTGTTCCAAGCTCTGAACAGATCTGATATCTCTTATAATGAGAATTTTTATATAGAATCATTTTTAGGTGTATTGAAGTTTATGAGCGTAGCCAGTACAATGGCTGGTTTTCTTGTGACTTTACACTTTACAGACTCTGATAGCTCGTTCCTTGTATTCGGGAGCTCAGACAGTTGTCCGAGTGAGTGGAGGCAGTGGACCCCAGCTTAGGTACATGATCATAGAGGTCTTGGAGAAAGTTAGCCACAACCCAAACTTTACTTCATCTTTTCAGATCTTCCAGGTACCATGCTGGTCATGGGAATTAAAAAGGTGTGTAAGACATGGCATTTTCTGCACAAATATATAAATAGTAATTATAATAGAGGTTCTTAAGGGCAAGAGTAGAGTACAAGTTTCGTTGAGAGAATACAGAGGAGGCACACCTACTTCAGCTAGAGCAAAGACAAGGACAGTGGCGTCAAACCCTTAATACTCTCCTAAAGCTCCACGCTGCCACGTTTCTTACCACACTAGGCTAGACTTCCTCATGAGCTGATTGCCAACATCAGTTGCAACGACAAAAAGCATCAGTTCATCTCCCTGTACTTTGCATTTTTCCCATCGTTTCTCCTCTAGTTTCACTGGCAGAGGTGGCCTTTGCATTGTCCAAGGCTATTCTTTGTGCTTATGCTCTCTTTCTCTCCTTTCGTAGAGCCTCATCCAGTCACTTATTCACTCTTTACCAAACTCTAGTTTCTTTTGTTTCAGCATATAAACTTGCCTAAGTCTGTCCTGTTATAACAACACCAGCTTTCTGAAGACTTACCATTCCCTTCGATGTATTGTTCTCTGTCCCTTTTTTCTTTCATAGACAGCTACTTTCAAGAGCGGTAGTCTGCACAGGTTTTCAAGAGTAGTAGTCTGCACAGCTTTTCTTCATTTCTTTAACTTACTAGTTTTTCTTCAGCCTCCTATAATAAGACTTTTTTTCTCTTTATTCCAGTAAAAATATTTTTTACCACATTTACCAGTGTATTTTACCTCTAAATTTCTGTGTGGTCAGTTCCTCTCTGTTGCTTTCCCTGCAGTATTCAACACTTTTGACCAATCTGTCTCTGTATGACTTCCCAGCCTCCGTCAACTCCCAGGACACCATTTCCCCTAGATGTGCTCTTACTACTGTGGTCATCCTTTTTCAGATTACTTTTCCTCTGCCTGTTTCTAAAATACGTGTGTTCCCTTGGATTACAGCCTTAGCTCTCTGTTGTTCCTGAATGATGATATTTATTATTTAAATTCAGCACTCATTTTTAAGCAGATGATTCTCATTCTTTTGGAAACCACACTCTTATATCCACCTACTAGAATCCTCACATGGATTTGCCCAAGATACCTCAAAAATAACATGTTAAAAATGGAGCTCCCATTGCTGTCAAACTCATATCATAAAACTACACATTATTCTATATTCCAAATGTTGGTCAGAAGCAATACTGTCTACTCCACATTCAAGCCTGAAATCTGAGAGACCTTCTTGACCCTTCCCCTTTCCTTAAAGCCTACCAAGTCTCAGTTTTATTTTATCAGTACCTATAAATGTGTTCTCCATTATGTTTCTCTTCCTGTTGTCTCAACTTAGATTTTCTCATTTCTTGTCTAGGCTGCATGCTTCTGAGTTTGACCTGTTTCCCTTAGGCAGTTTTTATGAATGCAAACCTGTGCACACGCCTACCTCGGGAATTCTGGGGTTTTGTGCTCTGAGTAGCTTTCATCTCAAAGAAAGGAAGAAAGGAACCTCTTACCTACCGTAGAGAAAGGAATGAGCTTTCATGCTTATAAGGCAAAAGGTCCTTATGATTGAGGATAATGTCTTGTATACCTTTTTTCCTTCAGCTTGGAAAGAAAGCATCTGACATAGGCCTGGGTGCCCAGTCATGACAGAATGGTGACTCATATAGCAGAATTGAATAGATGGTAATAGAATGCTAGGCTGTTACTCTCTTCTACACATAAAATAGTAGAATAAAGAATTCAGTTCAGATTTTTAAGTACATATTTATTAGAGTTGTAGCTAGTTTTTTTTTTTTTCAGGGTAAAGAGATAATATTGTATTAACATATATGTAATTTACATAGACCCACTGTAAAATGTTTTGAGTTACTACAATTTCTAGTTAATCACCAAATGATGAAAAAAATATCTACCTGTATTTACATACATACATACACAAACATGCACACATATACACATGCATACACACCTTTAAAAGTACAGTTTTATACCAGTACGGGGTGGTGATAAAGGTGTGGTCACTGTTATCATCATTACAGTTGGTTATGATTTCTGTATAATTACCACCACTACTCTTGCGTGGAAATTATATATTGGTGCGTCTTAATTTGAAAAGATATATGAAGACACACATCCATGTACATATACATACCCACTTTTTTTTAAAAGATAAAATACATTTACGTACGAATTAAAATAGAAATGCAATTGTTTTTTGACTTTAGGACAACACAGATCTTTAGGACCAAAAGATTCCAAGGTTAGAAGTCTAAAAATGGATGCCAGCATTTGGAGCAATGAACTCATCGAGGTAAGTCGGATTTAACTGTGGCATGATTAGCAGAGATGAGGGAGGATGTGTGCAGTGGGCAGCATGGCTTACTTCAGGAGTTCTCTGATAATGTTCTCACCACAGTATAAAAATGACTGATAGCCTGTTTGGTAAGTAGCAACTTTCTATGTTAACTTTCAGAATGCTTCCTAAATGAGATAGTTACTTTAAAAATAAAAAGTACAAGAAGCTTAATGGTAATAACTACTTTTAAAGGCTTGGCAGCTTTTTCATTAAGCCAGAATTTACTTTCTTTTTAACCCAGCATGGATAAAATATTAGAAAAGTGATGAAAACATTGGGCAAAATTTACCATTCTTTATCTTGGCCATGCTCTGTTATTAACTGTGATCATGTCTAACTTGCTGTCTCCAGATTCTATTTTCTGCTGGGGCTGCAGCACCACGTTCAACCACATTAGCCCACCTACTCAGCCATTTTAAATGAATCTGTCTCAACGTGAGCTTCAAAAAATAATAATGCTTTTGCTGTAATTTGTGTGGCTTGCAATTTCTTTCCTTGGTAACCTTTTACAATTATTAAGAGCAGCTAGACTGTATTTAAAATAGAAATAGTATCTGCTTTCACACTCCATCTTCCTGAGAGGGTTGGCTATTTCTTGTGTTTTTGCATATTTTATACTGGTATGTTTTAATTTGTAGTGTGAGTCAGTTTTCTGCATATTTAAATACACTTTAGGAACTGATATGTTTTATAATTTTTTGATAATTCAGCTTTTTATTGTTATTGGAAACAAAAGAGCAAATGACTTTTGGGCGGGTAATCTTCAAAAAGATGAAGAATTACACATGGAATCACCAGTCGAAAAGCGAAAAACCTTTATCACGCAGAAGTACAAAGAAGGAAGATTCAGGAAAACCCTTTTGGCGTCTCTCACCAAAGAAGAATTAAATAAGGTATCCAATAAAACAGCATGATAGACATGAATTTTAATGTTTTTTTAAATATGTGCCAAGGATTTTGAAAAGTAAAAAAAAAAAATTTACTATTTGTTGAAATTATTATTTTATTTCCTTTTGTGAGATTGTTCCAGAGGTTTTCTCGTTGTTTCACTTAAGGATTTGTTATTAGTAGCAGATAAACTCTTTATCCATAACTGAAGTTTCCAGCTAAGTCAGGCATACCCCAGTATTTTTTTTTTTTATTTTATTATTAATATTGCAAGTGCATAGTGCACTGGTTGGACATTCACATAGTTTATGAAACGATCCCCCCAATTACTCCATCACCCCTCTGGCTGACCACTTAGCCATTGCGTTACTGCTGAATGCATCAACAGCTTTTTCTGTTTTAGGGAGAGGATACTGAGTATAGCTTCAGCTCGTACGTTGCTGACTTGGTCTTACCAAAATTAACATCATTTACTCAATTTATTGTCAAGCAATGGTTTATTTAGTGCTATTCATTTGAACTATCATTTGCCTTAGGCTGAGCGATTCTAGGTCTTTTTGTGACCATTTTATGCTGTCCATTTGGTTTTCATCCTTTTGGCAAAGGATTTGTTAAACATTCTTCCCCCTTGTTTAAATTGCTCCTTCAGTTTATTGTGTGTCAGGAGGCTCTCCTGTGTATAGATATGTAAAACATATACTTTTGTATGCTTATAGTTTTTATGATTAAAGAATATATTGTTTCATGGTTCTCAATTCTTTAATATGCATTTTGTGGCAATACTTATTAGATAAGGATCCCCAGGTAAGTAGCATTATATGGAACATTTTGGAAAATCAGTAAATCAAGACCTTTTTCATACTTCTCTAGACATTGTAAGAGTTATACAATTGATTTACATTTTTCTTCTATTCGTTTAGTTCCGGTAAACTAAGTTTTTCTTCTTTGTATGTCTTTGGTATTTGTAAAGTGAGGCCACCAGTTGATTTTAAAGCAGTGGCACACAAGTTCAGAATTCAGAATGGGTACCTAAGGTAGGGTACCTCAGGGATATTGGATGGGTCTGGGGGAACCTTATATTTATATAGGTTATTATTAAGACATTTAATTTTGTTTATATAGGTAATTAAGACATTTGTTTTCATGAGTGGTAATTATATTACTAAAATAATTGACCAATTATATCACACATGTATGGAATAATGATAAACAGAGTATCATAAACCAAGAGTTATAATTAATCTGATTCTGTGTATCAGAAGTCTATAATAAATAAATATATAAATATTAAGTTGTGGATTTTGGGAAGTAATTGATGAGATTGGAGAACCAGGGCATATCTTCCTCCAATGGTTTCTCTCTTTTTGATGGTGATGGGAATCTTGTCAGTGAATAAATTAACTGATGTCCTCAAGTGAGGTCTTGTCTGCGACACCACACAGTTCCAATGAGCTAAGATGTTGTGCAGGTTTTACATTAGTTACTAGCTATTGCATTTTTCCTAAGAGTATTGCAGGGATGTCTATGAGAATTTACTTCCATAATAGGTTTCTTATAAAGGTACTCTTAATGTTAGTGAATAGTTAAAAACATTTTTTTTATTTTCTTGAATAGATTTTTTTAAATTAAGTTATAATTTACATATAATATTATATAAGTTTAAGGTGTTCATCTGTTAATTTGATATGTTCTGTGTTGCAATATAATTGCCACCATAGCTTTAGCTAACACCTTTATCACATCACATAATTATCACTTCTTTTTAGTGGTGAGAACATTTCAGATCTAGTATCTTGACAATTTGACGTATATAATACAGTATTATTGACAATAATCACTATGTTGTACATTAGATCTCCAGAACTTATTGACTTTCTATTTGCAAGTTTTTACCCTTAAACATCTTTCCAACTCTCCCACCCCCCAGCTCCTGGTAACCACCATTCTACTCTCTGTTTCTCTGCATTTGCTTTTTCAGATTCCACATATAAGTCCTATCATGCAATGTTTGTCTTTCTGTCTGGCTTCTTTCACTAAGCATAATACCCTTAGGACCATCCGTGTTGTCACAAATAGAATTTCCTTCTATCTCATAGAATACTATTTGTGTGTGTGCGTGTGTGTGTGTGTGTATAGACACACCACATCTTTATCCATTTGTTGATGAATACTTAGGTTGTTTCTACATCCTGGCCACTGTGAATAATAATGCTGCAATGAACATGAGAGTGCAAATATCTTTTCAATATCCTGTTTTCTTTTGTATATGTACCCAGAAGTGGGATTGCTGTATTATATGATAGATGAATTTTTAATTTTTTGAGGACTCTGTATATTGTTTTCCAGCATGGCTCAACCAGTTCATATTCTCACCAACAGTGCACAAGGGTTCCCTTTTCTTTGCATCCTTGCTGACACTTGTTATCTCCTGTCTTCTTGAATATAGCCATTCTAACAGGTGTGATTGCTTTTTTTAAAAATTGAATTGTATGTGTTCTTTATATATTTTAGATATTAACCTCTTATCCAATATATGGTTTGCAAATGTTTTCTCCCTTTTCATTCTGTTGATTGTTTTTGCTATGCAAGAGCTTTTTAGTTTGATACAGTCCCACTTACTGATTTTTGTTTTTATTGCTTATATTTTTGGTATCATATCCAAAAATTCATTGCCAAGGCTGATGTCAAGGAGATTACCACCTGTTGTCTTCTAGGAGTTTTACAACATTAGATTTTATGTTTAAGTTTTAATACATTGTGAGTTAATTTTTCTAAGTAGTGTATGATAGGGGTCCGTTTTCATTTTTCTGCATGTAATTATCCGGTTTCCCAACTTCATTTGTTGAAGAGACTATCCGTTCCCCACTGAGTGTTCTTGGTAAATAGATATTTATTGCACACTTAACAATTGCTGAGTTCTCTTTTAGGTACTGGGGATACAATTGTAGTAAAAAGCAGACCCGTTTCTTAATTCATGAGAGTGATCTTCAATAGAGGAGACTGACCATAAACATGAAATTAAGTAAATACACCATAGAAAATACAGAGCACTGTGAAGGAAAAGAATTGTTTAATGAGAGAGAGAATAAGAGGAGATACGTATGATTAGATTGGGAGGGCAGTCAAAGGCTACTACAGTGGAAGGGACATCAGCTGTTACATTTTCCAACACTCATATTGCAGGTATGGAAAAGCTAAGACCTAGAGATGAGAAAGGATGGTCCAAGATCACCTAACAAATTATTACAAAGTCAAGTACGAGAATTCAGGCTTCTTGTTTCTGAAGTAAAGGAAATTCTGGAGGTCAACTTTACCATGGTAGAAAAGATAAGTGCTTTTTAAAATAATAGACCCTCCAGGCTGGGACTGTGAATGCATCCTGAGTCTCCTTGGCTGTACACTGAGCTGTCTGTCCATTGAGATACCTAAAGAGTGATTATCCTGAAGTTGCATTACAGAGGGCAGATTATCGAGTGATCCATGCAGATGTACCATGTCAGGAAGGATTGAAATGGTGAACCCGAGGCAAAAGAGTTAGAAGGAATCAGGGTGCCCAGATCAGAGTGTTCGGAAGCAAATGGGAAGCCGATCAAGTGAGGAAGCAGGAAGAAAGGATGAGAAGAGATGTGAAGGCAGCTTATTACTTCAAGAAAAAAGAAATCAATTCTAGTGTTGTACAATGATGATGCAGAACATGTCAGTAATGTTTTATTGTGTCTGCTTATTGTTGTTCCTCCCCACATGCCCCTCCCCCAAGAGGAAAGCTCTGAATTGTACAATGATGATGCAGAACATAAGTCAGTAATGTTTTATTGTGTCTGCTTATTGTTCTTCCTGCCCACATGCCCCTCCCCCAAGAGGAAAGCTCTGAATCTGTACTCATGTTTCAAATTACCAAAGCACAACAATAATTTAAAGATTCTACAGATCCTGATGAGGCTGGAAGATACATATATACAATGTTCATATGACAAAACATTTAGTGGATACTTAATTATTACGTTTGAAATATTTAGAGTTTTCTGAGCATCAGTCATTATAGTATGTAAACATAAAGAATGTCTTACAAACAAATCCGATGGATTGGAAGGTGGAGAATACTGCTGCAACAAAACAATGAACTGAGTCTCAGAAGTCTTAGGTTAAATTTAAACTCATACTGAGCAGGCCTATTGCTTGATTCAGGGTATCCTTATTATTAGATTTCTTAGTTAAAAAGTAATATAAACTTCACCTCATAAATGAATTGTCAGACTTTCGGTCATTTTAATAGCTAGAATTGTATTTTCTTCCCTTAAAAGATATATTTTATTTTAATGACCAGGCTCTGTGTGCTGCTGTAGTGAAACCAGATGTTCTGGAGACAATGGCTTTGCTGTTCAGTGGAGCAGATGTCATGTGTGCAACTGGAGACCCTGTGCACAGCACCCCCTACCTGCTGGCCAAGAAGGCGGGGCAGAGCCTGCAAATGGAATTTCTCTATCATAACAAATTCTCAGGTCGGTCCCTATCCCTTCATCTGTGTGGTTTCTTCTGATGTATCCCTGAATAGATTGAAGCACAAATCTGTTTATTTCTCAAATAAAGCTACCAGAATGCAGAAAAATGTAATTATCAAAATGGTAGAAGATGCTTAAGACTATGTTTTATTTCATTTTAAGGAAAAGTTTAGAAGATAAGTCTTTTATGTTTCTTTAATCTTATAAATGGAAGATTAAAACAGTTAATCCCACATAATCATTTGCACCCAAATTAAATCTGATATGCCAGTATGAATAATAAACACAACTTAAGTGCTTATTTTGCAAGTTTTATGCAAAATAAATATCTTTGTACGTTTTTATCTGTGGTATATTTTAAGTACTTTTCCTACTAGCTTAAAACACTCTGACATATTCATAAGCAAAGGAAAATTGTTTACATTTTAGATTTCAAAGGCATTATTTCTATAATTTTCCTAGATTTCCCTCAACATGACGTTCATTTTGAAGGTGGATTAAGTCAAGAGTCCTCCCAGTCCACGTTCCTCTGTGACTTTTTGTATCTGTCTCCTGCTGCTGCTTCTAAACTCTCTTCAGAGAAAAAACTGCTTGAAGGTATCTTTTCTGCTCCTTTTAGATTTTATCTGATAAAACTTTATTTCATTATCAAAACAGGTTGAAATTTTGATATTTTTTTTTTCCTTAAAATGTTAGATTTGCTCTTGTAGTAGAGAAATAGAATTTTCGAGGATTTGTAAGTGCTCCCAGGCGCTGATAATATTTTATGAACTGCAGCAGGCATTTACCACTGGGTCGGCATGCTGATTGAATTCTCAGCAGAATGCACTGATGTCTGCCTTAGGGCCAGCCAGTTCTGTTTGTCGAGGTGGGGGTAATTCCAAAGACATGTGAAACTCAGCCCCTTCCCTTAGGGACAATCACCCTGACTGGGGAGATAATATGGATAAATGTTAACACATAGGAAGAATTGATAAGGTTTCAGTACATATGCTATCAGCATACTAAGCAATATCAAGTAATTCAGTTTGTTCTGATTGGGTGGGGGAGAGTATGTAAGTAAAATAAAGCTTGATCATAGTTTCCAAATAATGATAGGAATTCATTTGATTTAACAACCTATTCTAGGTTTGGGGAATTATCGTAGCAGAGTCCCAGCAGGCATTTATCCATCCTGGTGTCAGACGTGTGCTGGCATTAGGAACACAAGAATGAGTAAGACACAGGCCTCAGGCTCATGTTACATGTAGTCGAACTAATTTTAGAAATACAGGCAAGAAAATACAAGATCTGTCTAACTGCAACAAGGAGAATTTGAGAGAGATTAAGCTTTACAGGCCAACCGATGGTAGGCATTCGGAGAGTAAAGAGCCTAGTATTAGTTTCCTAGGTGGTATAACCCAGCTCTGTTACCCGATCAAAGGAACAGTAGGATGGAAAACTCATGGGTGTTAATCCTGATCCTTGTGCCTTTGAAGTGATTATTTCTATATAAATGCTTTATTTCCAAAAAAATAAAATTATATCCTTAGGCAGAATTATATTGGGATTAACTGTGCTTTATTACACTTTTCTGAAAACAGTAGCTATCCTTTAGCAAGCATGTACTATGTGAAGGACATTACTTTAGGTACTTTACTTTCATTAAAAACTCTGCAAGATAGTTGTATTATGCTGATTTTCACATGAAAAATGGAGGAGCTCAGCATGAAGCAGAGTTTTACATCTGAGTTTTGTTATAATTGTTATTGTAACATTTTGGCCTTCGTTGAAGAGTGATGGCTGGCCGACACTCAGATGGGAGAACATTTTTATTCTTTGAATTTAGATGTTTTTGGTACTTTCAGTCATTGTTTTTTAATGTCTTCCTTGACTCAACCAATAATAAATGACAAATTTTTCAGAGTTTTTCTCCTCATCAGTGTTTAACCATTAAGTAGTGAAAAGTTGACTGATCAGAAGGGAGAAAGTACCTGAATAATCTGTGAATTGACTGTAGCATTTATTAAAATAATTGAATAGTACAACAATTAATGTCCTTACAAATAAGTTTACAAGTTTTCTAGAATATTTCTTCTAAATAATTGGAGATCTTAGACCCACTCTTCAAACCACTTATACAAAGATGAAATAGGGAATGTGAAATATAAAATTTTCTTCCTAAAGCTTTTCAATATATCCTAAGTACCCTGCAGGCTAAAAATAAGCTTTTATTCGTTTTTTGACAATTACACTACTTATAGACTGACTTGTTTGTTTTACTGTTTTCTCGAAATAGATTATTTTTTAATCACTTGAGGATTGAATTGATGTTTGAAACTTGTAACTAAATTATTGTTTTCTTTTATTTTTTATAAATTAACTAGATATTTTCTAATAAATTTATTTCAATAAACAGAAACTGGTATATTCTCTGTCATTTAGTTAGGCGTGTTTTCTCATTTTGGAACACTCCGTTTTAAGTAGTATGAAATTGAACTTTTGTACATTGGTTACGTAGCACAGAGAAAATATTTTATTGGAAAATCATTTCCTGGCAAGGTATTCTTTGATGGTCTTCATTTCTTCTATCCAATTTGTTTCAAACTCAGAATAGATTATGAATCAGTTGACTACTGTCCCTCTCACTAGCATCATCCTAGCCACAATCATGTCCTGCCTGCACTATAAATACTCCCCTTATTTGTCTGATGTTATCTTCCTTAGCATCCCTCCATACCATTCTCCAAAAAGCAGACTAAACAATCATGAAAAATGTAAATTAGATCATATAATTCCATTGTTCAAGTACATTTAGTAGCTTCTCATTCCAGAATATTGTCCTATTCCTTATTATGACCTTAAAAGACCTTTTCATATCTTCTCCCTTTCATCTCACATTCTTTCTTCCTATGCTACACTGATTTCCTGCCTGTTCCTACATCATGCCCATGTTCTGCCTCTTCTGGGCCTTTGCGATTGCTGTTCACTCTGCAGAGAGGTCTCTTCCCCCATTCTAGCTCCTTCTCATCTTCCAGGGATCATCAGTTCAGTGCTGGCTAGTAAGACCTCTTCCATACTTTGCTAGCATGTTTTTCCACTGCTAGTTCTTTTTCATAGTCTGCAGCTCATTTCCTTTGTAGCACTTAGCACCTGAAGATAATCCTTCTTTCATTGATTTCTCTTTTCCTCTAGAGTTAAAATTCAGTGAAGCATCAACATTTTTTGCTTTTTCAGGATTGTCAAATCTGCGGGGCCTAAAACAATGTTGATACATAGTAGTCACATGATAACTAATTGTTGAATGAATGACCATTACTCTAAATATGTTACTACCAGTGTACAAGTGGAAGTGACTTGTTAATATTTTGTTTTTCACCTGTGTATAAAAATATATGATTGCTGGCACAAAACATTTTGCTCAGAAAGAGCCTACTTCAAAATGAAAATGAGAAACTACCAAGAAGCCTAAAGTTCTAGGTATTTTGCTCTTTCTCGTTCTCTCTCTCTCTCTCTCTCTTTTTTTTTCCTTCCTCAAGATTCTGTAGTGGTATACTCTGAGCACTAGCTTTATGAAAACGATGAATTATTTGGAAAGATTTAGAGATTCAAGTGTGGTTGTCACCTTTGCCTCTGAATGGTGAGCACCTAGATTGCACTACTCCATTAGTGCTTGTCAGGATGCCATAGAGCAAAATGATTAAAAACCAAGAAAATAGTTGGGGAATAAAATGCATGCAGTCCTTCAGTTACAAAGGCTTCACATTGTCAGTTTAGGTTTTGAGGATTTGAAGTTCTTCTGGCCTCTGGTTATGAAGACTGATCTGTATTTTCCTTTTTCTTCTCAATTTAGTGTTCATGAAAAGAAAGATTGATAGCTCTTGTTAAACCTAAGTATAGAGTTGAATAATAGCATCTTGGTTTTGTTTTCTGTTTTTTCCCCTCAACTGTATTTTTTTTCCCTTAACATCTTATTGTGATTTGTTGACACAGATGTTTGGTTTTTTAAAAAGAAAGTGTTTTATAAGGTTACTGGAAACTTTGTATATCTGTTTATATTTCATTTCGTAGATTAGCATTGAGGAATTCTGAAGATTTCTTGTTCTATAAATGCCTAGCTTGTATAGTTTTAAAATTTATTTTAAATGAAAAGGATTCCCAGTGTGTATTCCTATTTTCAGTGGATGCTGAATACCATCTTTTTAGGAAATTCATCAGGAAAAATGTCACGGTTTCTAAAAATAAAGATCCAACTTAACTATATCAGATTTAGTGTGCACATATGTATTAGTAGGTATGGCCTCTGCTCTAACCTAATACATTTTAAAAATGGACATACATGCTACAAGTGTATATCAGGCACAGGGGTAGTATGTGTAGTGGTTAAGAGGGTAGCTTCCCAAACTGACTGCTTGGGTTCTGACTCCAGCTCTGATGCTAAGTGTGATTTTAGGGAAAACTGATTAACCCTTTTGTGCCTGTGGAGAGGATACAAGGAAGGGGTGTATAGTAATAGAATTGACCTAATAAGGTTATTTGAAGGATTCATGAGTTAATGTATATAAAATGTGTAGAAGAATGCAAAGCACATAAATATGATGATGGTAAAGAGAAGGAGCAGCAGAGAGGCTATTTGCATACATAGCTACTTCTGGTTTCCAGTTAGCCTTTGAGTTTAGGTACATCCTACAGGCTGTACCTGCCAACCATGGTACCCAACTATAGTATCCATATTACATCATAGTTGAATTTCAAAGGTCACTTCTGGAGTCCTTTACATGGACTTAAGTAAATTCCAGCAGTGTTCGTCTTCCCTGATCTAAACATTAAGGTTGAGTAGAAGGAATGAACAACTCCTCCAGCCAGTCCAGCTACCATGCACATGAGCTCTTATCTAATAAACAGCTTGCATTCTGAGGGTTACCCATTGACAGTGGCCCCAATTTTGTTTCTGGTGGATGTCTTCTGATAACTGATTGACAGTGTCATGGATGGTATTGACATTTCTCAAGGTCAAAGTCAAGAGCATATCTGAATTGCCCTAAGCCGACCAATACAATCCAACATAATTCTGTTAAAGCTTTTCATTGCTTCTCAAATGAATAAGAATGTCGAGATTTCCTATCACAGCTTTGTTATTACAGATCCTCAAAGGTAATATCTGTATCTCCCTTGTCTGACCTCTGGCCCATTTTCACTTATAAAAATGAAGCTAATAAAGTGTTATAGTGACGATAATGTTATAGGACTGAATCTCCTACACTCATGTTTCTAACTTAAAATGAGTTTGTACTCACCTTTTTAAAGAGATCTGTCATTTATTTCCCATTAGAATTTACATGATTAGATTCTGCATTTACATTCATTTTATGCATCGTGTATTTGGCACTTTTTGTTTAAAACCTTCCAATGGCTCCCACTTCTCTACTGAGAAAGGTACAAACTCCTGAACACCTGTCATGTGAGACTCCCGGGGCCTGGCCTCTGCTGTGAGCCTGCAGTCCTGTTTCCCATTTCCTAGCTTTATGTGTAATCTGAGTCTCTGTCCAAATAGATTTTTGGCAGTTTCCCCTTTCTATGACTTTCCTCACACTGTTTTTTCCCAGAATTATGGAATGATTGCAGCTCAGAATGCATTTTTTTTGCTACTTTAGAAACATGCCTTTTCAGTCATAAACGACTATTCCAGAAGCTGTGTTTTTCTGTGAATTTTTTTTTTTTAATCATGTCAGTCCGAGAGTGCCTTCTCTCCATGAATGATTCTCACCCGAAAGGTACCACCTTATAGTTGTTATGGTTGTTATTTCAAATACAGCTCCTCCAAGATTTGATTGTAAACTGTCTGAGGACAGAGTGGAATTCCTAATCCGTGCCAGTGATTAGCTATATACTGATAAATGTTATTTTTTGCTTTATTCTTTATGAGGATTTTTTTAGCTATGTGAATACATTGTTTTGAAATCATTTCATAATTCTAATTGATTAGTATTTGGACTTTTCTTTTTCTTGTATTTTAGGAATCTGCGGTAAATAGTCATTTAAAAATAATGGTCTTTCATGATTTTCTTGTCACGTGCGAGTTATACACTGTGATTCAGGATTTGAAAACCCTGGAACAGTATGTCACCTTCCAGTGGGAGTTGATTGGGTCTCAGTTAGCTTTCTTTTCCAGTACCCATAAAGAAATTATTTGTGTTGTTTTCTTCTGCTAGTTATGCTTCAGCTTTTCACTTGACAATAAGTTTCTCCAAATATTAGTGATCTTGCGACTCTTACAGTTTCTACCTTTTCAGTGTTTCTGCCCATGATGGTTTTTGAAGCTAAACATACTGTTTTCTTTTCTTCTACTTCTCACCACTACCTTACCTGTAATACAAAGGAATTTAATTAGTAACTTCATATATATTTCTTTTAACTTTTAATTTTCAATTATTTTAACATAATTTCAGATTTGCAAGTATAGTACAAACAATTCCTATGTACCCCTCATCCAGACATCCCAAACATCAACATTGTCATATATATGTATTATACACATACGTATATGTGTATATATACATGTGTATGTGTATTTTCAGAATTACTTTAGTAAGTTGCAGACTTGATACCTATTTGCCCCTTAATATCTCAGGCTGTATTTCTTAAAAATAAGGACATTCCCTGAAATAACTACAGGGTAGTGATCAAAATTAGGAAATTATCTGATCTACAGACTTTATTCATTATATCCATATCTATAGACCTTCTTTATTAGCCTTAATGTCTGTAGATATAATGTATATTTTAAATGCAACATTGAGGGTTACTTACATAATTCTGGGCAGTAACTTAATAATTTGAGAGTTTGTACAATCTCTAGAGTCCATAAATTGATGACGAGGTGATAATTTAAAAAATAATTTATCTAGGAAAACTGAAAACTTCAAATAATTTTTCCTTCCTAGCATTACTTTTTTGAAACATTTGAATTTATTATTTTCTTCTCACTTATTCAAAGAATTATTTGGGAAATTGAACTTTGAATTACATCATTAAAACCTATAAAAAATAACATCTTTCACAATTTAATTTTCGCAAGTTAGTGTCTTTCAATAGGAAATATATGGGATTTTTTTGTTGCTTTAATTAGGAAGGCTCATTGTTTTAGTTTTTTTAAAGTGGGAATTAAAAAGGAATGATGAAGAGTAATAACAAAATTTGGCAATACAAAGGCAGATTATATAAAACAATTGAGTCTGGTTGTCATTCATCCATTTTGTTTGAACTCTGCATATTTTTAGTGCCTATGGTTTAGTCAGGAAGTACACTAAATGCAAGGAGTACTTTCAGAATGCATAATAATATAAAACCCACCAGAAGATTTAAGTGCTAAATACTTTATATTTCCACATAATTTTCAGAATTCAGTAGGAGTAAAACAAGCCTGAACAGACCCATGTCTGAAACGATGCCTTCTTTCCAGGCCTACTTGTCTTCCTTTAGATTCCATTTTAGCAAATAAGCATTGCATCTTTTTAGAAACTACGCCAAATTTTATTTTCAAAATTAAAAGAGATAAAGCATAGACAAACTTTAGGAAATAGTTCCTGACATCCATTGTTAAGTACCCAATTAAATTTTAGCAGTTAATAACTTCTTGCTCACACTTCCTGAGATACTAGCCTCTCCAAGACTTTCTGGAACTTTGTAGAACATTGCTCACTTTTTGTTGACTTAATTTTCATGACGGAAGGTACCAGCTTTTGCCTCTCAGACAGATCAGTTACTTTCTGTGTCCTGCAGGTCTCTTCAGTCCTTCTTGTGCTTTTAAGTTTATACCTCTATTCATTCACTGTCATTCTTTCGGAGTTCTGGGAGGGACTGGAGATGCATGCATGGAGCCTCCTCCTACTCTTAAAAGTAACTCCATTTGATTCTCCTATTGATTCTTTTACACATTTCCTTATCTTTACATTTCTCTTCAAGTTAGCAACCTCATCTGAGCCATCTCTGTAACTACTAACTTTACTTTCTAATTTATGAAAATAATTTGAACAGATTTTCTCTAAACAATGTGATGCTTCTTGAGGACAGAAAATACAGTCCTTGTTCTCAAGTAGCTTAAAGCAATGATAAGTAGATAAATCTAAATTGTTATATTGTTCAAATATTGTGGTTGTATTTAAAAATAGTATTTTAAATTCTTATATTGAATGAAAATTATTAGATCATATAAAAATGGTAATATGTATTTAAATAACCACATGTAAATCACTTTTCTCTGTGTTTCACATGCATTGCATCATTTGATTACCACTATAATCTTATGAGTTATATGTTTCATATCCTAATTTTATAGATGGTGAACCTGGGCACAGAATAATTCAGCTTCTTTTCAGTGGTACCCAGTTAGGTGTCATTATTAGAACCCAGAGTCTTTGACTTCCAATTCTACCTTTTTTGGGTCCACATAGTGGTAATTATGCGGCAGGAAGATACTTAACTTGGCCTGGTGAGAGGGATAGAGGGTTGAAGAAGATTCCCGGGAGAGGTTGTGCCTAAGCCCAGTCTTGGAGAAATTGGGTTAACTGAGTGGGATGCCATTATAGTTAAATAATCTTCTTACCTCAAGATCTAATTGTATCTTTCCAATTCTTACCTTTATTCCCTTCTGTTTCTGAGAAAGAAAATGTTCATTCTCAGTTCATTTCAGTACATGTTTTTTGTTTGTCAGTTGTCTTCCCATAGCTCATGCTTTCATTTTAGCTTATGATATCCTTTGGTTTATGACAAAGGATTGATCTATACTGACTGGTTCCACTTCTTCTCATTTAGTCAATATACTGCAACCTCGCTTCTTTCTCAGCACTTTCAGTAAAGTGGACAATTGCCTCCTTATTATGAAGACCAACTGACATCTTTTCAACCTTCGTTTTATTAAATCTCTGCTATATTTAAAATCGTTAATCATTCCTTTTTGAAATAGTCTACCCTTTTCTTTTTTACACACTGTCTCATTTGCTTCATTGCTTTCATGAACCCCTCTTCATCCATTACAGTTTTTTTTCCATTTATATATATATACATATATATATGTATTTTTTACATATAGTTGACAACTTATAATTTTAAGTTCACTAGGATTTTATTCTTGGATTTTTTACGTATAGTTGACAACTCCTTATAATTTTAAGTTCACTAGGATTTTATTCTTGGTTACTTTATATTCTTAATGGCTATTTACATCCTAAAGACTTTCTAGTTATTGAGACCTTTCCTTGCTCCAAGATGCAAATCCATAAGGTGACATGCGTAAAATATGTCTACTTGGATTTCCAAGATATTTCTCATTCACTGTTTCTAAAAGGGAACTCATATTACATTCATTGAAACTGTCTCTATTTCATTTTCTTTTAAATAAAAATGGGCATCACTGACAACTTTGTAATCAAAGCTAAAAATAGTACAACTGTAAATTAGTTCCTCATTACTCTCTGCGTCCAATCAGTATATGTTTATCTCCTTAGAACACAATGCATGTATGCATTTCTCTCTCTTCCTCCTCTCTGTCTCTCTCTCTCTCCTTTCTTATCCCTATTACCACTGTCCTGCTTTTGGCCATCTTCATCTCTTAGGTAGACTTTGTCAACAGTATCCTAGCTGGTTTTCTGCCTCTGGCCTCACTTTCTCAAATCCATTTTTCACAGTAAGCAGAGTGTGTGAAATGCAAATCTGATTGTCCTCTGCTGAAACCATTTTAATGGTTCACCATTAATTATAGAATCAACACTCAGCAAACTTAAAAGGCCAGATAGTAAACATTTTAAGCTTCATCGGTCAGATGGTCTGTGCTGCAACTCAGATCTACCTTTGTCATGGGAAAGCAGCCACAAACAATTCATAAATGAACGAATGTGGCTCTGTTTCAATAAAACTTTATTTACAAAAACAAGTAATGGTCTAGATTTGTCCTTGGGCTTGCAGGCTGTAGTGTGCTGACCCCTAACAAGATGAATTTAAGTCCCCTAACCAAGACATTAAGGGCAGTACAGTTGCTGACCCCTTCTTCCTTTGCATACATAAGTTCAGCCATGTTCTTACTTTTTACCCTACACTTTTTTTCTACCTAACTCTTTACAGACATCAATCTTTGCTGTTTCAGAGTTGTTTTGTAGCAGTCCTTTATGGCTCCGCTTGCTTTACTGGTCATCAATGTCATAGTTATTTTTGTCTTATATATTCCTTGCTACTAGACTGTAAAATTTTTAAGAGCAGAGTGTGACAACTTTATATCCCATGCAGCAATAGCAGTGTTCTTTACACAAAATAGGAAATTAATAAATTTATTTGAATCCTGTCATTTAAACCATGTATTTTTTAAAATTAGTGTTTGATATAGTTTAACTTATTATTTGTTTTGTTTTAAATTCTAAGAGACAAGTAAAAAATGGTGTGTTTTGGAAGGCGGCTTTTTGAGTTACTATGAAAATAACAAGTCTACCACACCTAATGGCACCATTAATATCAATGAAGTTATCTGCCTGGCTGTACACAAGGAGGACTTCTATTTAAACACTGGGTAAGTCTATCATTAAACAGGCAGAAGACGAAAAGTATTTTCTGATATTTATCATACTAGTATTTTCTGATATTTATCATACTAGGTAATAAGGGTTTTGTTATTTCAGGTCTTCAGTTGCTTATTGTAGAAAGATTGAATGATTTCTTGAAGCCTACTTATTTTGCCACTTCTGTAAGTTCCTTAGGGAATTCACTAAAAAGTTGGAAAATTAAAATATCATACTAGATAATATGAAAGGCTAGCATGTTTGCATCTAATTTTAAATAAATTTGTAGTATTTCATTCTTGAACATATCCTGTAATTTTTATGACTTATTTAAAAGGTGGACTAATGGCAAAGTTTATGCATTCATTTAATACATCATAGTTCAAATATATGACAAAGGAAAATATTCGATGATTTATTTATTTTAATGTAAACAAAATAGTATATTTAATAACATAGAAGTGCTAATTTTCTTAAAGATCTACTTTGACATTTTGTCTCAAAAAAGTTGCAATTAAAAGAGTAAGCATTATATTGACTCAGAACAGTTTAATGAGTGTCTATGAGGACTTAGAGCATCATTGCTGTGAAAGTTTCTTTTCACATTTTGTGTTGTAATTAATGAAAACATATAAATATTAAAATCTGCCAAAATCAATCATTTAGGAGCATAGTATTTAATAAAAGTTTATATAAGAAATGGAAGAGATTTGCAAAGCTTTGTTATTTACATAAAATTACATGGAACATATGATTATTACATAATGACCAATATATATGAGTCGAGATGACTTGCTTTCTAGTAAATCTAATATTTTATTCAAATAAAATTGATTTTTGGTTGGTTTGTTTCTATTTTAATTTTAACAGAACTTTTATTTTAAAAGAATTATCATTTTAACGTGTCTTACTGTGGAGTGTTAAAATAAATGCATTCTATGTATAAAACTCCATAATTAGTAAATAAAATAGAATTTAAAATAATATTAGTTTATGTCAGCATATAATCATATTTAAAAATAAAACATTCTTGATAGGATGTTACTGGTACAAGTTGGTGATTGGGAGAAAGCATCTATAGTGAGATGCAGTTAAAAAAATAATCGTTGTAGCCAGATTATCTGAATTATCTGAATTATCTTAAATAGCATATTATAGAGTTCAAATTCGATATGTAGGCACTGAAGAGTTATACAGATTTATATTTTGGGAAGGAAGCTGGATATAATGGTAAGGAAGAGATTGGAAGAAGAGAGGCTATAATTAACTGAAAGTTTCTAGAGGAAGATATAATTTAAAAACAGTGAATTGAGAGCATATTATGATTGATTTGATAAGATTAAATGCCTGACTGACTAAATGAAGAGCTGGTGCTAAGGGGAAGAATAATTAAACACCATGGTTTTGAGCTTGTTGATGAAGTAGATGTTCTTTTAAATTGGAACATGAAGGAGATTCAACAGGTTTGGGGGGAAGGAAAAAAAAAAAAGGAAGACGGAAGATGACTTTGATATAGGGTATTTTGAGGGTTTTTTGTTTTGTTTTGTTTTATTTTTTTAGGTAATGGTAACATACATACTTAGCATGTTCCAGGAATTAATTGAAACTGTGGAAGAGGAACCAAAGGAAGAATTCAGGACATGTGATGTTACTCTAATTTTACCTAGAGTAAGGAGATGGAATTTCAGAATAAGATGAGATGATGCAAGGAAACTTTGTGATGTAAGACAAGATGACAGCTGATTGGAGAATTTTTTGGACAATGTTTACTTTGAACAATTGGTCAGAGTAAATCAAAGAGTAGTGTGAGAGGGAAGAGAAGACCAAAGAAAGCCTTTTGACACATCATTGGTTAACTCAGGAGTGTCCAGGACATCAACAAAATCGTGCAGTAAAATAAGTACAATCAGAAGAATTTTCATTTTGTATGATCCAGTGTGTTCTATTTAACTCATTTGAATAAAGTACAAACCATCAACAAAAATATGATAGATTGATTTCACAGCATTATCCAATTTTCAAAATGAATTTAATTTAAAAACTTGACTTTTGTGTGATTTGTTTTCATAAGAGCCAGACATAACCAGTGATATCTTTTTATTCATGTGTGCCGTAGGCCCATCTTTACCTTTGAGATCTATTTGCCCTCAGAACGTGCGTTTTTATTTGGAGCTGAAACATCTCAAGCCCAAAGACAGTGGACAGAGGCGATAGCTAAGGTATTGAAATATTATTACCTTAAATCCAGAGAAGATTCTCAACTTGGGGTCCATGATTGAGCTTTATAGGTCCATAGAAATTTTATACAAGACTTTGGGAAGAAACCATACTTCATTAGGTTTTCAAAGGTTGTAATTGGAAGAGGTTATGATCTACCTTCCTAGAGATTTAAACGGAGAAGAAATTAATGTAGTACCTTGGAGAAATCATTCTTCAAATTAAGACCATGTTTTGATGATTAAGATTTTTTTTTTCAATATTATAAAGTCATTTCTTTGTATGTCTTTTCACAGGTAGATATCTTATTCATGGTATACAGAAAGGGGAAAGGGATAGATTCAATAAAAGATATAAATGGAGGCAAACATTTAAGGTTGACATTTTGAAAAATGCCATACATCAACAAAGAGAATGTCTTCCTATTTTAATTATGGATATCAAGAAAAATGGCTTAAGATGCCGTCATTTGAAAATGTACTGTTAGCTGTTCTAAGACTGATAGCAAGTTTAAATAGTTATTTGGAAATTTGGGTTACTTCTAAATCTTTAAAATAGAAAACAAAGATAATTTTTCCACCTTCCCTCATATCTGTATGTAGGGAAGAGATTTCCTATTTTCACTGTCTTTATTACTTTTCTGTATTTGTTTTAACAGCATTTTGTTCCCTTTGTTGCTGAAAACTTAACAGAAGCTGACTATGATTTGATTGGTCAACTCTACTACAAAGACTGTCATGCCCTGGATCAGTGGAAAAAAGGCTGGTTTGCTATGGACAAATCTAGTTTGCGTTTTTGCCTTCAAATGCAAGAAGTTCAGGAAGATAGAATGCACTTAAGAAGACTGCAAGAGCTAAGTAAGATTTTTTGTTTGTTTGTTTCACTTATATTTTGGACACAACTCTTTATCAAATATGGTAATGGTAGCTTTTACTCGAAATTATAATGGCTCACTTCCAAGCATATGACTAAGGAGTATTAGTAATTGTGTCTTTATGGGTATTTAGTAAAATGTTCTTAAGAAATATTTTAATGCTTTTATCTTCTCCCTCTAGCAATCAGTACAGTGGTTCAAAATGGGGAAAAAATTGATGTCTTGCTCTTGGTAGAAAAAGGGAGGTAAGTACATTTTTGCCTTTGACTCTGTATTGCAGTAACTCTAGGGTTATTATTTTGGTTACCTTCTTGTGGGAGAACCCATTATTTTATAGCCTGCTGGATATTTTCTGAAGTGTATGTGTGTGTATGTATGTGTGTACACTCTTCAGTAGAACCAGTACACCAATGAAGCTTGCATATTTTTATATTTGTTCTGACAAACTCAGTATGATGAATTATTGTAATTTCCTATAGAACTAGATCCCTCTAGGACATTCACATTTAAGTATTTGGAAGCACTTAGTAATTGTAAATATATAGGAGTATAAATAATATCCTGAATTATTTTTGCATGCCAGTCATGCATAGCTAAAATAAGATTTTTTGAATTTATTAACTTTTTCAATATATATGAATTATCTGCTGTGCATCAGGTACTGTAATAGCTATTGGGGATATAGTGATGAATAGAACAGACATGGTCCCTGCCCTCATGAAGCTTGTACACTAATGAAGGCAACAATATAAACAGAAAAAAATTAATATTGTGTCTATCAATTTTAAATGCTTGAAGAAAAAATGGAGCTAATGGAACAATATTCTGTAAAACAGAAACGGTGGTAAAGGAAGTATCTTTGATCTGAGATCTACATAAAGCGAAGAAGCAAACCATGAAGTAGTCTGGACAGTGTTCCAGGCTATAGTGTCAAGGATTTTTTAAAGACTCTAAGAGTGTATTGTACTTGGCATGTTCAGGGTCTTCAAGGAAGCTGCTATGGCTGGGGAGATTTGAATGAGTTAGAAAGTGGGAAGAAATGATTTCAGAGATATCCCTGGGCCAGATCATATAGGGCCCTTCTGCGTCATGATATGTAAAGATTTGAATTTTATTCTAAGCATGATGGGAAGGTGCTCAGTTTGAAAGCTCGGAAGTGGAATGGTCTGACTTATGTTTTTAAAGGACTACTCTGACTTCAGATGAATTGGCTCTTGGGAGACAAGGGTGAGTGTGCAGTTAGGATGCTGCTCTGGGTATTTTCCTTGCTGTTAACAAGAATGACTTTCACCAGTTAACCTGACTTTTCTTCCACTTCTTGGGAGGATATCAGCAGCTTTAGACAGCAGACATATTGCTTCTTAGATATTTATGTCAGAGTGTGTTTTTTAATTTACAGGCATAGTTAGGGTCTTGTGTTTTCTCTTATTTATTTCTGAGATTATAATGGTTCATTATGCTTTAGATTCTGATTTTTGGTACTGGATGCTGGTTTTATTGTACTGTCAGAGTACTGTTAATTGTATGTTCAGAAATACTAATGGGATAGTGTTATTAAAGTGCTAGCACAAGTGCAGTTTTTATATTTAATATTTATGGGATGTCTGCTGCCTGCTACCTCCATGGCAGGAAAAAATGGTCAACGATACAGATTTGGTGTCTGAGCTGTCAGGGTTTATGTTCTTAAACAAATAAATAAGCAGCAAGTTGCTAGTTGATTTTATTGTATTTATATTACACACACACACACACATACACACACACACACACACACATTTTCCTTCAAGTTACTGTAGCCAAAGTATTTTTCTTTCATTTTCTATCCAAGAACCATTTGATTAGTGGCACATAGGTTTTAATAAAACATAGCAAACATGAATTAGAATTATTCGAGTTGACACATTTTTATTTAGTGATTATTGTTGCAAGCAGTGTACTTCCTTGGGGATGCAAGATGGGGAAGCAGAAGACTAAATGTTTTGTTCTTTGTAACATCTTGACTTTCTCCCTAGATTACAGGAATCAGGAGGTGAACTCAGATGCACTCTGAGTTCACAGAATCATTGAAAACTAATGATATTCCAAAATAATTGTCAAAGCTGATTGTGTTTTTGATTATAATTTCAAAGTTTTTATCTACATGTGCTATTAACAAATTCTGTTGAAAGCATATTTTATGAAAGTGAAGAACAAGGAATGTGCCAGGACGGGGAGTAGAACAAATATGTGAACAAGTTATTTTTTAAAAAATCTCTTTGAATACTGGCCATACAAAACAACTATATTTTAAAACAACTATATTTATCACATGCTTATATCCTGGTTTTACTTGCTTTTCCTGTTTTCTCCAAATCAATAATATTCTGATAATAACAGTAATACAATGATAAGAATGTATAGAACTTCCTGTGTATCATGCATTATTATAAGCACATAAACAGCCTATATGATATTAAGGAGAGTAATGTTTGACATCAGGGTAAGGTCAATTTCTAATTTAACAACCTAAAGATTTTTACTTTTTAAAACAAGTGTTAACTTACCAATGCTTTTGTACAGATCATTCTAAAAAATTAAATCAACAAATGTACCTAGAGCTTAAACAGAATCAATTACTAGAATTTAAAGTTTCAGCACTTTTTTAGAAAATAACATTTTTATTAGAAAACTTAAAAAGTTATTTTACTAGAAACTATGTATATCCATACAGTGCTTACTTAATTAAACATGAAGCAGAAAGAAAGAGGTCAGAAGTGTGAATAAAGATTCAGCCTGGCAAATGGTGAGTGCACTAGGTTATAAACCCTGACAGAATAAAGAGTGTGCGTGTGTACCAGCACCTGGCACTGTGTGTGGTGCAAAATAAGGTCTCATGTATTTATGTATTTAGGCACATGTACATACATATATATATATATATACACATATGTATGCATGTAAATATGTATATATTAAGTAAACAAATGAACTTGAGATGTAGAATAGTGGATCAAAAAAGCAGATATGGGAGAGAACTTGGAAATGATGAGTTTGATTTTAGATGTGTTGAGCATGAGGTGCTTATAAACATCTATATATAAGGAGAAATTGCTAGGAGAAAGTTATATTTATGAATCTGATGTTCATGTAAAAGTTTATGGGTGGAAATATAGATTTTGGTGTTACTCGTATATAGAAGGGAGAAGGTGAAATCACTTAGGGACTAAGTACTGCGTTGGAGCCTTGATGAATACATATCATTTTGGAGGCGGGGGCAGTTGTCAGGAGGAGTAGCTGTCCTGCAATATTAAGCTAATTTACCCAGAGAGTGAGGCAGGAAACCAAGAGTGTCTGTCACAAAGCCTAGAAAGAGAGTGCTTCAAGAAGGAATAGTCAAGAGCGTCAGGTGCTTCCTGATGAGATACTCCATAAGATAAGTGATGTAGGCTTCATCTGGTGACTTTTAAAGAGAGCAGAAGTGATAAAGCAGAAACTGGATTACTTTAAGGTCGGTAACTGAGTAAATTGAAACAGCTGGTAAGGACAGTTTGTCAAGGATGTCTGGAGGTTAATAGGATTAGCAAGGTAGCAGAGATTTGACTCAGGAAGGGAATATGTATACTATTTGTTTTTAGATGGCTTAACTTGTACAGCTTTAAATCTTGATGGGAAAGAGACAAAAAGGGGGAGCAATTGAAGATATAAAAGAGATGATAGGCAGAGCAGAGTCTTTCAGTTGAAAGAAGAAGAAAGGAGGAATTGATGGACGGTTTTAGATATCGGTAGCTTTGTAGATCTGGTGTTCTGAGAGAAACACCAGTTTAATGGTGTTGATGGTATTAATTCTTTGTGAACTAGAAAATCAAGGTGACTTCTGAGCTTTTGGCCTGGATGACTTTATGAGTAGTTATTTCATTTACCAAGATAAGGTATATTTCTCTCCCAGTACTCAAAGCCTGTTAATTATAGATGTGATTGCTTAAGAGGTGTTTTAATACCACGTCCAAATGAGAGAATTTCATTGCATTGCCCTCTTTCTTATCTCTCTTTTTCTCTATTAGCCCCTTAGGAAATAATGACAATAAGCTAAAGTAGATTGTGTTAGACTTGTCGATGACATAAAATTGTGGCTTTAAGAAATAAAACAACTTCTAGTTATTAATATTGATGACATATAGAGATAGTGAATAATTGAAAGAACAAGAAATCAACTAGCTGTTTTAACTTTTTTTTTTTGCTAGTAAATGCTTGAACTAGAATTGCAAATCATAAATACATTTAATGAATGAATTTCACTTCTTTTCCTTTTCCTTGTCTACTTTTGATTAAGGTGCTAAAATATATTAACGTTCCTTAGAGGCAAGGAGGAGAAAGAACCCTCTGAACTGGAAAAGTTCATAAATTGATAATCATCCACTGAATATAGTCACTATTTAGATATATATTTTAATCTTCATAGTAATTTTCTCTTTGTGCATAGAATGAGTATCTTTAGACAGAAAAATATGGCAGTAATATTTTCTACACACAGAGCATTTTTGCTCTAAAAAGCACTAAACAGAAGGTGTTCCAGATGGTGTCGCTTTAATGTGTATTCTTTGTATACTTTAAAAATTAGTATTTTGGAAAATAAAGCTTTCTTGATTACACTTAAGGGTTTCTGGTATGCTGTTGGATGCTGTTATTGGGACTGGATCTTGTGCTATTTTACACCTTAGTCAGGACTTTTGTATGCGGGAAAAAAATCATGTTTTAAAATATCTATTGTTAGTTGGTGAATGTTCTGGAATCACAAGGTCAGAAGGCATTTTTCTGGACAGTAGGTTGTGTATTCACCTTCACTGGAATATTCAGTAGATTACAACGTCCTTTTTTTTGAAATTCGAAAACTATTTCTGCACTTCAGCCCATATTCCCTGTATCTCCTTCTGGTAAGTAAGCTGCTGTGTTCACCATCTTCACATTACATAGCTGCATACCCATTTGTCAAAGACACCTATTATTAAGCTTTTACTGAAAGATTGTTGGTTATAATAAATATGGTAAGTGTGAATGAATAACTCAGCTGTATTATTAGAAATAGAAAAGACTGATGTGTGTGTGTGTGTGTGTATTTTTTTGTAAGATACCTTGACTGACCTATAGTAAAGCATTATGCAGTTGATGGCTCCCAAGCATGACTGCATTTAGTTTTAATTGAAAATTCCAGACATAAAGAAGCTAACACTGGGGAGTAAACATTTTATCAATATGTTACACAATTATG